AAAAATCAAGGGTTCCAAAAATAAAAGCATATATTGAGCAACGCAGTATTATTAGCAAGGGCGTTATTGCAGACTGGCCGGCCGGTATCCCGGAGCTTTGGGAAGTGTTGCAAGATAGGGCTGATATATTGAGTCTGGAAAGAATGTATCGGAGAAAGTGGGACGTTGCTACTAGAACATCATCTCTCATGGCCACGGATAATATTATGATAACATTTAAGGCGAAAAGTATCAGGAATCTGAAGATTTTTCAACATGGTGTTAACCTCAGAGTAAGGCCGTTTATTCCGCAAACTAAACAATGTTTTAATTGTTTTAAGTTCGGTCACACTAAGTTGGCATGTAAAAGCGACACTCGCTGCATCGTGTGTGGAGATAAAACACACGGTAATGTTCAATGTAAAAAATCTATACGATGTTTCAATTGTCATGGTCCGCATAAATCAACTTTCCGTGGTTGCCCGGTGTACGTGAAAAACAAGAATATAAACGCAATTATGGCGTTTAACAATATCTCTTTCTACAGTGCGAGAAGGCTGGTGGAGGGAAAATCCCCGCCTACAGATAGGCCTATGGACAGCAGGATGGATCCTACTAGTTGGCCGGTATTACCGCCGCGGAGGACGAGGCCTGTGATACCGGAGGCACGCGAACCAACGCCGCGTAAATTTTCCTATGCTGATAGTGGCCCCCCGAAAGGTAGAAGCAGAGCGAGGCCTATTTCAAGTGGTATCGGCAACTACTTTGCCCAATTTAATAGTCATGAAGAAGATATTACTGCGGACAGAAGAGGATTGGCCTTATCTGGTAACCGAGGAGCTTCTTGGTCTCAGGTGGTGCGTCGTGAGGTTGGAGATGAGGCGGCGCAGCGGGATGCTGCGGTGGGTGTGATCGTTGCGAGCATAATGTCTCTCATTGAGAGATTTCCAGTGGCTAGGATGGGCCTGATTGAGGCATTGACGAGGGAGAGACATGAGGCATCTCCCCCTACACGTGGCGGTGCAGGGGATGGTGCCAATAAGGATATGAATATGGAGAATAATAGTGAGGGAAGGACTCCCTCTCACGAGAGAACATAATTCAGGCTCCTTCTGTGGAATTGCAGAGGATACCGTAGTTGTAAGGAGGAACTGGCCCGACACGCTTCGGAGTATGACATTGTGATTCTAACAGAAACAAGATGTAAGGGTCCACGAGGTGTTACTCTTTCTAACTTTAAATCTGTCAATAGTGCCAACAGACTGGGTAGTGGCGGTGTATCTGTCTCTCTACGCAATTCTGTGGAGTTCTCTGAAATCCCATTACAAGTTGCTTTGCCGGTGGGGTATGATGTTGTGTGTGTCAAGACAAATAATCTATCTTATAATGTTAACATTGTTGCTGTTTACAGGCACCCCTGTGAGCCGATGAACAGACATGATTTCAGACCGATTTTTAATGCTATTAGGGGAAATGGCCTGGATACAATTATCATGGGAGACTTTAATGCCCATAACACCCTATGGAACTGCCCAACTACTAACGGTAATGGTGACTTGTTACATGAAATTATGGATGAGGAGGAACTGTTGTGCGTGAATGTGGACACTTGCTCTCGAGGCGGTGTCAGGGGTCAAAGGGACACAAACCTAGACCTTCTCTTTGGCACAAGGAAAATTATTGAGGGAGTTTCATACTCGCAGGAGCCGGATCCTTGGGGCAGCGATCATCACCCGTTATCTTTTTCATTTGGAAGCTCCCCTTTGATATATGGTAAGGTTACCAACAGGTTGTCTACCAAGAAAACGGACTGGGGTAGATTCTGTGAATTAATGAAGGGGGAAATGAAGGATATTGCTCAGCGACGCATTCTCCTGGGGCAGGATCTGGAGGCGTGCTACTCGTCATTTATCGCTTCTATTGGGAGCGCTGTTGCGACGGCCTCGGGCAGAAGAAGTACCGATCCGCCCACGCACGTCCCTCAGAATAGAAGAAAACCGTCTCATAAATGGTGGGACGCTGAGTGTGACGAGGCCATTCGTATCAGAAGGGAATCCTTCAAGTCATTTAAGTCTACAAAGAGTCTACATGATTGGCAGGCGTATAAGAGGGCTTCCGCGATAGTTAAAAAAACTATCAAGCAGAAGAAGAAGATTGGCTTCGAGGAGTTCTGTAAGGGCATCGATAGGTTCACCAGCCTATCATATGTGTGGAAGATTATGCGTATTTTCAAGAACGCCAGAAAAAACTTGGAATGGAATACTTGGCCCACTAAGAATAGGGAGGATGTTGTGAAGTCTTCTATCGACTGTCTTGCTCCGCCTTTTGTGGGGGTGGAGCCGATTTCTGACTTTGATGGATGTCGACCAAATGCTGAGTTGGATGCACCGTTTACCCGGGAAGAGATGACGAGGGCTTTGGAGATGATCCGTAAGGACTCATCCCCGGGGCTTGATGGCATTGAATATAAAACTATCAAGGCCCTTCCGGACATGGCCAAGGAACATTTGCTGGAGATTTACAACAGGGTGTGGTCAACATGCTGCATACCTGGTGACTGGTTTAACTACCAAGTGATTTTTATCGATAAGGTCGGCTGTGAAAAGGTTAGGCCCATATCCCTGTCTTCCTGCGTTGGCAAAGTGATGGAGAGGATGATCAATGAGCGTTTGGTCTGGTGGGCTGAGAAGGAGGACAAATTTAGCCCGTCCCAGAGTGGCTTTCGCAGGGGTAAGTCATGTGCCGATAATCTGGTCAGAATTGTGTCGGACATCAAATCTGCGTTGTGCGTTGGTGAATACACGTTGGCAGCCTTCCTAGATGTCTCGTCCGCGTATGACAGTGTGGACTATTGGATAATGTTGAGGAGATTGATAGCGCTTGATTGCCCCCCAGCTATAGCCAGATTCGTCAGTTTGTGGCTGTATCGTAGAAGAGTGCGATTTATAATTAATTCTGGTTTATTTGTGGATCGACTTGTTTATCGGGGCCTCCCGCAGGGTGCTGTCTTGAGTCCGATACTGTATTCATTGTACACACAGGGTCTATGTGCGGACTTGCCGGAGGGTGTCGAGGTGGTTGAGTTTGCTGATGACATCGGGGTTTATGTACGTGGACCGAATCGGGAGAGATGTAGACTGCTATTACAGAGGGCCATTGATATTATTGCTGAACGACTGCGGGGACTGGGCCTGGACCTGGAACCTAGAAAGACGGTATTGGTGGATTTTTCTAAGAGCGGGTACATCGACAGAAATATGAACATAGTCATTGATGGGTGCAGGGTTTTTAATTGTGGCGGGGCCAGATTCCTGGGTGTCTGGTTGGACAACAAGCTGAGTTTTGAACAGCAAATTCAGATCGTGAGGGGTAAAGTGAACCGTGCCAACTCCATTATTAGATATCTATGTGGGGTCTCAAGAGGAATAGAGGTCAACACTGCATTATTGCTATACAAGAGTCTCGTCAGATCGGTTGTTGACTATGCGTGCTTCGTGTTCTTCCCCAGGGGGTGCTCGTTGCAGCTTAAGTTGGAGAGAGCCCAAAATCTTGGGATACGCACTGCCCTTGGTTATAGGAACTCTACTCCGAATAACGTGATCATCGCGGAGGCCAAGGTGATGCTGCTAAGGGACCGAGCGCTGATGCTGGGCGCTAACTTCGCAAATAAGGCGATTGCTCACAACACTAATGGCCTATGCGATAAGATGCGTGGGCTGTTGATGGCTGAGAATTTTAAGAGATATAGACAACCCGCATATAGACTCTCTCTCCTTGCGGAGATATGGCGCAGAGTGGAAAGAACGAGAAGGCTTAGCGGCCCGGTTGAGAAGCCGCAAATCTTCAACGGATTTTTTAATGCCCACACCTTTATTCCGAGGGTGGACTTAGATATTGGTGCAGTGAGAAAAAATAAAAAGTGTTCCGACCGAGCTCTGATCAAGAAGATAATCGAGAGGTTCCAACTGAAAAACAACCCGGATATCATCTTCACCGACGGCTCTTATAAGGAAGATGCGATGGCCACTGGTGCTAGCATTGTGATTTGCGATCAAGAGGAGGCTTTCAAGATGAGCCTCCCTAGTGTATGTTCATCTTATACTGCTGAGGCTTTCGCGGTCTGTGCTGCCCTGCGGCTGCTGTGGATGCGAAGATATGAGAGTGGTGATGAAGTGATTATTTTGTCCGACTGCCAATCTGTCCTTAAATCTATTTGCAACAATCACCTGAATGTGCATAAAAATAAGTATGTCACAGAGGCCAGAATATTGATTTACAATTTGGAGAGATTGAGAGGCAAGAAGATCGTGCTAGTGTGGATTCCTTCACATGTGGGCATTCTGGGAAATGAGATTGCTGACGGACTTGCTAAGGAGGCAACGGAGGAGGAGCCCGACCCCACCATCTCGGTCCCTGTGGGGGACTTGTTGGTGCGAGCGAGAGAGGAGTCATGGAAGGCAACGCAATTATCGATCGAACGCGATGCTCAACACAAGGGCACTTTCTATTTCGATACATTCTATGATCGAGAGGCGAGACAGCCGTGGTTTTGCAAGGTCCGCGCGGAGAGATATTTTGTTACATGGATCAATCGCCTTAGGGCAAACCATTATAATTTGAACGCGTCCCTGCACAGGAAAAATTATATAGGTAGTGCGAGATGCGAATGCGGGTGTGAATACGAGGATATACACCACGTTATTTTGAGATGCAATAAGTACGACGATCAGAGGTTAATCATGGATGCCGAGCTGAGAGAGTTTGAATTTACTGAGGATATAGACATATTCCGTTTAATACGCGCGAAGAATTGGGACATAGCGGATATAATTTTTAAATTCATTAGAGCTACGCGTAGAGTGATTTGAATTGACTGTGTTTTGATGGTGATAGAGACACGAGACTATAGTATATGGTCATTATTAGTTTTAGATCAATTGTGCCAAATGGCCTAGTGCTGAAGGCGCCTAACCGTCCTCACCCGAGGACATATTGGAAAAACCCCCCCCCCGCGTGCACATACCGGCAGCTACATGATTACTTAAAACTTGTACGGCGTACTTAACTTTCATTTTCGAAAAATTATTGGGTTCAATATGAATGGGAGATAATTTAGGAGCTGCCTTAATCCATTGTTTAGTATCTTTTGAATAAAATTGAACAATATAAGACCATGATGCAAAATTTATCATTAAATTTTAAATTATACTTTAATAAATTATTACGCGTTGCTTTGATTAAATGGGGAGTATCAAAAATATATAATATATTTTGTTCATCAACAACAAACATTGAATTTTTAGTTGATATCCCTAATTCGCGAGATAATTGCAAAAAGTTGGAACCCATGTCCGTAATTAACGCATGCACAGTAGCACCACATTCTTTTAATTTTCTTATTGCATCAAAAATAATAGTTTTTATTGTATCGCTTGTACAAGTAGTCGCTACAAAACAATAACAAAGTGGAACTTTCCAGTTGCCTGCTATACTTCGTGCCATAATAACAAATGCATTCTTTGCAGATATTGGTAATTTATTATCACCAACATCTTGGAATCCTATTATTTCGTCTCGTGAAACATCGTAAAATAAATGAGATTTTAAACTCATTTCATCTATGCACAGTACACAATGTCGCTCGATAAGTGATAATGAATTTAATTTTATTTTTAAAGCCTCAAAGACTTTTATATTAAGACCAGGAAGAATATTCCAATTATATGTGAAAGATTGTAAAGTACGCACGGAAGGTAATGTAAAGATTTTTCTTAATTCTTTATAATTTCGCGGACTTAAAAAGTACATTGATAAAGCAAATTTTTTAAAATCATTATTGTATCGTATGCCACGTTTGTCTCTTGTTTGCGCGTCTACTTGTACTGACAGTAACATACTAAATTTGTCCGGTAACCACTTATTTCCTAATGTTCTTAAAGTTTCTAATTCTTTATTCTTTTGTACCTTATCTTCTCCATGTGGTGATTCTTTAGTGGTGATACTTTTTTCCACTTTCTTTCGAAGACGTCGCAGTTTTTGCTGGAGATCTTTGTTTTTTAATCTCATTTTCTCTATGGTTTTGCACAACCGTTTCTTTGTAGGGCTGTCCTTTTTCTTGGATGTCATCGTTGCTTTCGATATCATTGTTTTGACAGGTATACTGGATGTGCTTCTAAATTAACACAAAAATCATTAAAAATAAAAAAAATAAAAAAATTGAACAAAAAAGTATGCATAAAATTCTATTTTAATTATAAAACAAAGAACAATAAGTATATAAAAACACAATAAGTAATAATAAAAAAGTAATTTTAAAAATAATATAGGCATGTAAGACAATGAAAAATATATGAATTTTTTGTTGGCCTACATCTACGTATACTATATTACTATAGTACTCTCCTAACAAAGAATACTTATATTATGTTAAAATGTAAAAGTAGTATATATAAGCAGTTAGATAAGTAGTTTGCACTTGTTGTCTATTTTTCTCTTAATAGTTTTTTAATAACTTGATAATAATTTGATAATAATTATTATACTAAATGTACATTTTTATTTTACTAAATTTTTTATAAATTTATATATAATATTTATGAATAGAAAAGTATAGAAATGGGATAATATATAGCAATACATGTAAAAACTTACGGTTTCATAATTTCAACATCCATTGTAATTTCCTCTTCTATGTTGTCAGTATCCATTTCAATTTCCTCTTCTATGTTGTTTCCTTTTTCTTTTTCTATAACAGAATTTGCTTGCTCTTGTATATCTTCCGTTATTGTGTCCTTTTCTGCTTCTGCATCCATTTCTATTTCACTGCAAAAAGATTTTAAGTTACATAATTTACTATATTAATACAAAATCAATAATACATGATGTTTGAAAATAATATTTTTAAGATGTCATTATATATGTTCTTATTTTGAACATGTGTGCTGACTGGATATGTTTGTATGAAATATTGGCCGCGTTCAGGCAACACAACTGTTGAGTGAGCGCTCATTATGATTGGTTGTTACACTTAGATCCGGAGAAGAACCAATCATATTAAAGAATCACTGACCGCTCACTCAACAGTTGTCTTTCCTGAATGCGGCCATTATTACATTTTAAAACAACCAAAAAGAAACTGCAATAAAATTGATAGCAATCTAAAACATAATTATATAACCTACATTGTTTTAAAACATGATGCTAAATCTTCTCCAAATCTTGTGGGTATGGCATCAGGATGAAGAAGAATTCTTCTTTTATTAATCCTAAACCATTTCTCCTCAAAATGCAAAGAGCATAATCGGCAATTTCTATACGAATATTCAAGTCCTTTTTCTTTTAAATCTAGTCTTCCACTTGCTTGTACCCATTGCAACCATCTGTTATTACAATGTATTAAACATTATAAATTTATGTAAAAAAATATAACGTAATTAGAAAAACTAAAAATACTGTTATAAAATAAAATGAAAAACCTGTCATGTTCTTTTGGAAATCTAAATACATGTCTTCCTTATTCCAATTGAAGATTTCCAGGACATCCTGTTATTGAACAGGTTTTAGTTTTTTTTGCACTCATTTCCTTACTACTTCTGTTTTCTTCTGCATCTGAAACAGAGCTAAGATCAAAGTGTTTTCTGCAAGAGAATTGAAAATCTGAACAATATAATATATGTACAGATCTACAATTCTCTTTAAGGATAAATGTCACTTCCTTTCCTGCTTTCCCTTCACTTCACATCACATCACTTCACATCACTTCACTTCACATCACTTCACTTTACATCACTTCACTTCACTTTTTTCACTCCTCTTTAAATATCTAAATTATCTAAAATATCAATTGAACGACATAACCACATATACTGTGACAACCGATGTGGTAAGCTAATGCCGCCAATTTCTAAACATTTGAATGGTCATGAGAAAGAGCGAAAATGGAAAGAGTAAGTGAGAGAGAGATTCAGATGGCGTTACCGTATAAACTGGCTCAACTTGCGCATGCGCGCTGCGTTTTTGGCATCATCTGACGAAGAGAGTTGCGCTACTGTTTAGCAGCAACAGTGTTTTGTTTACAGATTGCGATTGAATAAATTCATTGAACGTTCTTAATAAAAAGACAGGATGCCTCAAGAACTAATCAACCAAATCTTAAAGAATTATATATGAAATACGGGTAGAAAAGACTTGAAAATATAATAAAATTAGAAAAATTGCGCCAAACCAGTCGCAATTTATTCAATTTTAAATCTGTTATATTCTTCAGTCTTATATTCACAAGTCCATATATGGACCATGTAGCCTGAACTACTCAAGTCAACATCGATTTAACATTGTGTCGATTGTAAAGCTCCATATTTGTGCCACTATAATTAGTAATAAAATCACTTTTTATATATTTAAAAAATTATTTTAAAGTAGAAATAAAAAATTAATGTATAAATAAAAAAATGAAACAAAATGAAAAAATTAAGAAATATCCGCACGTAGTAGGGATCATTTTAATAAAAACATTACGTATTTAATTAATTTTTGTAATAGTATAACAAAAATATTAGCCAATAAAGCTTATCACAATAAAAAAGTGTGCAAGTAGAAACTTGCACATTGCTTTCTCTTAGTTTTTAAGTGTGCAAGTAGAAACTTGCACATTGCTCCTTCATAATTTTTAAGTGTACAAATTATAAATTTGAACATTATACTTCCTCGATATCACAATTTTTAAGTATGCAAATTATAAATTTGCACGTTGCTTACGCAACATTTTATTTCGCTCATAAAGCTTCCTCTATGAAGAAGCCAAATTAATAAATATCTACTAATAATTATACATAAAAAATAGGCTTTCTCATAAGAGGTAGCTTTATGAGCGAAATAAAATGTTGCGTAAGTAACGTGCAAATTTATAATTTGCATACTTGAAAATTGTGAGGAAGTAATGTTCAAATTTTTTAATTTTATAATATATGTCGGCTAGTTTCATGGTCTACAATTAAATAATTAATTTAAAATTAATTATAAATTAACAAACAAAAATAAATGCACTACAATAATCTACAAACGAAATACAATCGATTTCACATTTTATTAAAACGTGTCATTAATTTTTTTAAAAAAGTGTCAGTCGTCGGCTAACACACGAATGAGGCAGCAGCTATTGATTAGAACGGCGTCGATCCCTTTTCAATTCGCATTAGTACGCAGAGCGGGCAGACAACCGTTCCGAATTACTAAAGCGCTTCATGCGCATTGACAAAACGAAACGATTCCGAAGCGCTACGCAACAGTAAGGCAGTCTATGCGTTTCATGCGCAACTCGGAACGGACCCTGTGATACCGGCCCTGAAAGTTGCTGGACTGCGTTCGAAAACTTTACTCGGGTGCACAGCGCGTCGTTCCATCTTTGTTACTTACTAAAAATTGAACAAGGACAGAACAATGCTGGTGTGCGCCCGAGTGAAGTTTTCGAACGCAACCCTGTCAATCATGAATCTTTTCCCCTAGGGTAGAAACGTGAAAAATGAAAAATATCTCTTTCTATTGATGTTAAATAGAAAGAGATAGTCATATAAAACTTTTCATTTTCCACGTTTCACATTAATACAATGATTGACCCCTTGAGTGAATATCGGAATGCAGCTATCTTTTCCCCTAGGACGGAAACGCGAAAATAAAGTTCTAAATAAAGCTGGGAGTCGATTGTGTACCTTGAAACGAGGTGAAAATTACAAAAGTGAACAGATTTTACTAGATTTCCACAAATAAAATCGTAGATACGCTAGTGAATTTCCTCACTTTTGTAATTTTCACCTCATTTCAAGATGCACAATCGACTCCCTGGAGGTCGATTCTAGGGGTCGATTCTGTATTTTGCAGTATTTTGAGACGAGGTAAAAATTACAAAAGTGAACAGATTTACTAGATTTCGACAAATAAAATTGTAGATTCTCTAGTGAATTTCCTCACTTTTGTAATTTTCACCTCGTCCCAAGATACAGAATCGACCCCTGTAAAACGAAGTGAAAATTACAAAAGTGAACAGATTTACTAGATTTCGACCAATAAAATCATAGATACCCTAGTGAATTTCCTCACTTTTGTAAAGCGAGGAGCACACACTTCTGCACAACGCATAATGCGTAAGCATAAAAAAACTGATTGGTCCATATACATGTGCATAAGAAAATAGACCAATCAATTTTCTTATGCTTACGCATTATGCGTTATGCAGAAGTGTGTGCTCCCCGCTTAACTTTCACCTCGTTTCAAGAACCGTAAAAAGGGTGCATCCCGATGGAGAAGGAATAATAGCGGAACGGAACAGTAAAAGGTGGAAGCACATAAAATTGCAGGAACCATAAGCAGAAGGCAGAAGCCATATGCGCTTGCGCTATGGTATCTGTTAGAGCTCAACCCCGCGAGGGGACCGGCCGCCTAGTAAGTGTGTCACATTGTTTTCCACCTTTTATGGCTTCTGCATTCTGCTTATGGCTCCTGCAATTTTATGTGCTTCCACCTTATAGAGATATAAGAATAGAGTGCGCAAGCGAGCTGAAAAGGCGATAGAGAAATAGAAAGAGAACGCTGCATATGGGCCCCTGCTGTCTTTGTCTATGCGCGCATGTGCAGTGATGTGCAGGTCATGAAAGATTGTACCTCGGTATTCTCGATGTTTTATCTCGTGATTTCAAAGAATACGAATGCAAAATAATAAGCTCACGATTTTCAGTGGACAATAGCAAAACTGTATACTTTTATAAATATTTAATAATGTGCATTTAATATTATATTGTTTGTAGTAAAATTTTTATTTTTTTATTTTTTTATATTTTATTTCTTTGTGTTAAATAATAAGACTGATTTAAAAGATTTAATTTTTGTGTTAAAAGAATTTAATTTTTGTGTTTAAAAAATTTAATTTTTGTGTTAAATAATAAAAGACTGAATAGAATTCTATTCTATTCTATGATTAACATTGTATGAACAACATGTAATAAATTTTGTTTTATTATTATATATATTGAGTATATTTATATACAATTCCATATTCAATTCCATATTAAAAAAAAAAGTAATATTTTATGGTAATACTATGTACTTTGCTGTAATAATTTGGTAATTTTGGGAATTATTATTTAAGGATATATTTTCAAAGAGGTTCAAGGCTTCAAGGGGTTAGAACATAAATGCGTTATTATAGGTTATATCTCTACATGCGTTATAGACACTGAGCAGCGCAAAGACGCATGCGTGCATAGACAAAGACAGCAGGGGCCCATATGCAGCGTTCTCTTTCTATTATTCCTATATCGCAGTCTCTTACGTGCGAGCATATGACTCGCGCACTCTATTCTTATATCTCTATGTTCCACCTTAACGGAAAAGAGATATGGTGGGGGGTTAACCAATCAGAGTAGTTCCGTTTCAATTCCGTTCCGTGTTATAGTGAGCGCATGGGTTTCCCATGGCACGGAGTTGTTACGGAACGGAAAAGAAACGGAAAAATTTGTAACCTATCCTGTCAAAAGTTCGCGAATAATCATTGGTAGGTAACCCCCACCATGTCTCTTTTCCGTTACTGTTCCGTTCCGCTATTCCTTCACTATCGGAATGCACCCTAAATAAGCCCCCAGGACCCCTATTCTGTAACTTTAATGACAGTGTCGGTATCGTTATGTCGTCGTTGCGCAGCTTTTTTTCCATATAGTATACCTGCGCAACGACAACGTAACGATACCGACACTGTCGTTACGAGTTACAGAATATGGGTCCTGGCCTGCGTTCTGAAACCTTACTCGAGTTAACTCTAGTTAACTCGAGGCGTTCAGAAATGCCGAGTTGACCCATTTGTGGCGTTCAGAAACACGCTTGAGTCAACTCTCGAGTTAACTATTTCTACCCACGTCGAGGAGGTAGGTAGAAATTACTCGACATGCGCACATATATAGATTCCGTCACATAAGGGGCACATAACGCATGTTCTCGAAACACGCCTTTTTTAGGTTAAAGTTATTCACAAGAACCGGCGAACAAAAAGGGATACGGACACTATTTTCCTGATGCGCTGCCATATTTTCACTCATATTCAATGCTTGATGGAAGAACGCCATGTTAACCCGTGATGTTACTTTCGTCGTCCATAAACGACAGTAACCCGAAGTCAACTCTAACTCTACTCCTACTCTACCTGGGTAAAAGTTTCTGAACGCAGGCCAGGGGGTCGATTCTATATCTTGGGACGAGGTGAAAATTACAAAAGTGAGGAAATTCACTAGAGAATCTACAATAGGTTTGTTTGCGTTGCTTAAATCCCCAAACATTTTTGCACTTGAAATGAGATAAATATATATTCGACTGTTGGAGAGAGAGAAAGTGAAGATGCTGAGTGCAAAAAGTGCAAGCAACGCGAATAGAGTGAATTTCATTTGTCGAAATCTAATAAATCTGTTCACTTTTGTAATTTTCACCTCGTCTCAAAATACAGAATCGACCCCCAGACTA